GCGATGGCGGAGAAGAATAAAACCTGCGCAACGGCCTCCCCCAGCAGCCGCCTCGGCGCGGACAGGTCGCGTCCCGGCTTCTTTTCCCTTCCCCCGCCTTCCCTTTCCCCGACAGGCGCCTCAAAGGTTCCGCGCTCAAAACGTTCCGGGGCGGGGGAGAGAGAACTGGAGGCTCCTCTGCCTTAAAGAGCGCTTTGGTCACAACTCACCCCGAGGAATTTTTTGTGCCTTTTCAAGCTGAGGATGGGGAGATAATCTAATTTAAGAGGGGCTTGGGAGGCCTGTCACGGTGATACGCCTGGGAAGTTAGAGGCAGAGCAAAAAATCCTGGTGTTTGTGGGTGCCCACTGTCCCACAGTCGATAAAAATCAGCAAAATCACCTGTTGCAAAGCAAAGCCAATACCTAAGGCAGATTTTATGTAGTTTATAAATGGTTAAACCGTAGATAATCTTCTTTTAGAGAAGAAATGTAACTATTTTAGCAGCCAACCCAAATGGTTTCAAGGACTGAGCAAGAGAAGAAAGGATTGCAGCCCTGAGAACAGTGACCTAAGACAGAGGTGCAATAAATAGGGACATGGTCTGACAAACAGGTGGTATCAGGGAGATCATTAGTTTTAATGAGCAATTAAGCAGTTGGAATGTTTTGCCAACGTGAAAAGTGAGCCAAAGGACAGGTGAAGAAGATGAAGATGGAGGAAGGAACGACCCTCACTCAAAATGAGGACCACCAGAAGGCACAACTCCGCATGGCCAAAAGCTTATTTGAATATGTAAATGGATTCTGGGAAATGTAATGAATCTGCTAATGTTTTCTTGGAATGACATTGAATATGTATACCTTAATTTGATGACAGCATTCGGCGTGCACAACAGGAGGAGCGATCCCCTGTGCACCTGGTGCCGCAATAAAGAATGCCTGCTTTTTAAAACTTTAAATTGAGTCTTAGAAAGTTTTATCTGCCGGTTTGTGGTAACACAGCGAGTGTTTGCCTCGCATTTCATGGGGCTTCCGAGATGCTTATTTGTACTCCTTTTGAAGACTGGTGAGAGATACACACTTTCCTGGGTGGTCTTTCAATACATGAGTCTGCAAACACTATGTTAGAGCAGCCCCATTAAAAGCTTATACAGCGATGTGTTTAAAGAATACTTAAATGGAAAGGTGTTTTTTTTTTTTTTTTAAGTAAGTTTGACCTGCCAGCAGTTTTTCAGTGGAGCAATAGCTCAGGAAGCAAGACCTAGGCATACAAGCTCATGGAGAAAATGCTCTCGGGGGAGGAGAGCCTCATATTTAGCGACTTAAACTAATTTTAAAAATCTTGTTAATTATTATGCCTTCCTGCTGCGTTAACGCAAATCCTCAACGGGTGAAAAATAGCTGAGAGATTTGTATTTCCATCAGTCCAACGAAGCAGTACTTGGTTTTAGGGCATTGCAAATTATAAAAGATAGACAGGGCTTTCAGAACACCAGCAAACAAAAATTACCCCATGAAATTAGCAGGATCTTTCCATCCTTTGTAACTCTTGCTTTTCTTGGGCTTTAAACAAGTGGGGTTTTGTTCAGGCTTTTTTCTGGGGGAGCGAGGGGAAATGGAGATAACTCCTTTTCTGTCCTCAGTGAACTCAGCTCTCTTCTGTTTTATAACCTCCCTGGGAAAACATGGAGAGATATCCTTGCCATTCTAAAGAGAGAGACTAAACCTGCTCACTTCGTTATCGTTTGTTTGTTAATCCTTTACTACTTTTATCTTCTCTAGAAACCCAGTTTTCTACCTATTATTATTATGCACGCAAGGAATGCCATGTCTACACAAGACAGTTTATCAATGTTAAGTATCAATTTCTCTGTCTGATCAGCCTTATTCCAGAAGAGGACACCTTCAGCTATTCTTGTTGCTTTATCCTCACAGTGTGAGGATTTTCCTTATTTTCCACAAATAAATGCTGAACCTCTGCACAGGTCTTTTTATTCTATCACACAGCAAGAAGACACCATGGTCTTGTTCCTCTAACAACCCTTCTGCTCTGCCGCAACGCCAAGAATTGGGCAGTTAGCGAGCCTGAAAGTACTCAGCTTGGGGAAGAACTACTTAAAGGTCAGTCCAAGCTAACCCTTCTGTAGCTAGATACGACTGGAGATACTGCTTACTGCATGAACAACACTGCGCCTTCAGTGAAGCACAGCTGAGACCTCCTGCTGGTGAGAGGATTTAATAATGTCCAGTACGACCACCTACTTCACAGAATCACAGAATCACATGGGGTTGGAAGGGACCTCTAGAGATCATGTAGTCCAACCTTTGACAAAGCAGGTCCACCCAGAGCAGGCTGCACAGGAACGTGTCCAGGTGGGTTTGGAATGTCTCCAGAGAAGGAGACTCCACCACCTCCCTGGGCAGCCTCTTCCAGGGCTCTGCCACCCTCACAGGAAAGATGCTCCTCCTCATGTTTAGGTGGAACTTCTTATGTTCAAGTTTGTGCCCATTTCTTCTTGTCCTATCCCTGGGCACCACTGAAAAAAGACTGGCCCCATTGTCCTGACACCCACCCTTCAAGTGGGTGGCATTGATCTGATCAATAGGCATTGATCAGATCCCCCCTCAGCCTTCTCTTCTCCAGACTAAAAAGACCCAAGTCCCTCAGCCTTTCCTCATCAGAGAGATGCTCCAGGCCCCTCATCATCTTTGTAGCCTGCTGCTGTACTTCATAAGTGTGGGAACCTGTTGTGGGGGGATTTTATTTTTATTCCATCTTGGCAACATTGTATAGAATCGTCTAGGTTGGAACGGACCTTTAAGATCATTGATGGACTCAATGGATCCTAACGCTGTCCCAAAACCATCATGAAACCGTGTCCCTAAGCACCATGTCTACATGTTGCTTAAATGCCTCCGGGATGGCACCTCAACCACTGCCCTGGGCAGCATCTTCTGACGTTTGATAACCCTTTTGGTGAAGAAATTTCTCCCAGTATCCAACCTGAACCTCCCCTGATGCAACTCGAGGCCATTTCCTCTTATCCCATGGCCTGGGACTTGGGAGAAGAGACCGACCCCCCGTCCTAGGCAAAGCTACAGACATACAATGTCTTTCTACTCTTAGAAAGCATCACCACGGGGTCAACGCTCCTAAACTACTCTCAAGGTCTGCAGAAGAAAAGGGCGGAAGCGAAAATGTTGTGACAATCCATGACTGGATTCAAACTTGTATCATCTTTATGTCAGGCTTCTTTAACACCAAGGATGGAGCCTGTGAGACTGTTCCTGCCCACAGGATCTGACATGAAACAATTCTGAGACTAGAGCCAAAAGGATTCCAGCATATTCTTCTGCTCAGTTAATTTAAGGCAGACTTTTAAAAGTTATTTAAATACCCAAAGAGTGATTTTCTGAAGGGCAATGTCTAGACATCTGTGACATAAACCACCCCTCTGGAATCTGCAGCAGAAGTGCCACATTCTTTGTCTTCTCAACAGGTATAGAGGTTGAAAACATCTGTAGGCTTCCTCATTGGGAGAGCCTTTGCTGTTGTGTTGAAGAAAACGTATGACGTTCATAATGATCCCCTTCTACCAACTATAAAAATTCCTGTAACACAGCTATCTGTATTGTAAAAATGTAACCAAAGACTATTTTTTAATGGAAACGTGACTACGCAGGGCAGGCACATTAAGATTTTACTGATCTCTGTCAAGATTTGGTTTCGTTATTGCACTTTAATCCTTAATGTGTCAGTAAAAGCACCTGAAAAATGTATCATTGTCTGCACTGCATGTGTCATTTGTTACGCTTTTAAGGTTTCCCTAAATTAAATAAAGTCACCTACGTACATAAAGTTGGTATCATCTCAAGAACTGTCATCCCCACCTGCACTGCCAGTCACACACCCCAACTAAACCACCTGAAAAAAAGCCCAACTCACAGAACCTGTTGTTGACAGCTGTTGGGAAAACTACTTTATATAAATTAGAGCTTTCAGTGGTATGCAAAGACTTTAAAACGATACTCTATTATCCCAACAGATGCTCTCATTTCTGTTCAAAGGAGCCTCAGCTTAATTCTTTTTAATAAGAGGCCTCCTCTCCCTGCTCGTGTCCCAGAAAGCTGTGTGTGTGGACAGGGCAGCTTCTGTGATGCAAGACAACAGAGGCAAAGTAAGAACACACAGCACTGTGTTAAAGAAAATTGATCAAAGGGAGGGATACATAGAAGGCAAAGGTGTTTGCTGCAGTTTTGGACGGTACTCAATTTTCCCTCTGCCTTTCAGGGCATGAAAAGGAAAAAAAACTACTCTCTTCTGAGTCCTTGTGTCTTTCCTTTCCTGATCACGCCGCTCCCTGAGCTGGGCTCTCTCTAGTGGACTGGGGGGGTTAAGGAGGTGGGGAGGGAAGGCCAGATGTTGCCCGGTGCGGTGCAAGCCCTCCCTCTCCCCTGAAAATGGCCGTGGAGGGGGGCAGATGCAGCTCCCTCGCCACAAGCCCTCGGTGTGCTCGCCCCTGAGGGCCCCCTTTAGCAGCAGCAGCTCCCCCCACACACACCCCCGCACCTCCCGCCCCCATCCCCGCCGTGCGGAGGCGCAGGCCTAGGCCCGTCTCCCTCACCGCCCTGCCCCATACCTGGTAGTGCCTTTGGAAGCCCCCGGGCGAGCGCTTGTGCTGCGGCTGCGGGCCAGCCCCGGCCGGGGACATGCCGCCGTAGGGAGCCGGGTAACGGGGGCTGACGCTCTGCGGCCTGCGCGGGGTCTGGCCCCCCGGCGACGGGCTCCCGAACCGCCCGCCGCCGCCATGGAAACCTCGGGGGGAGTAAGGCGCGGGCCGGTGGCCGTAGGGCGGCGTGTGGTGAGGGCTCCCGTAGCCCCGCGGCGAGGGGGGCATAGGGCCTACCCCCCCTCCTCCTCCTCCGCCGCCGGAGGGAGGGCTCCGGAAGCCACCGCCCGCGTAGGGAGGCGTAGGGGGGCGGAAGGTCTGCCGGTACATGGCCGGGACCGGCGAAGCGATGGCGGAGAAGAATAAAACCTGCGCAACGGCCTCCCCCAGCAGCCGCCTCGGCGCGGACAGGTCGCGTCCCGGCTTCTTTTCCCTTCCCCCGCCTTCCCTTTCCCCGACAGGCGCCTCAAAGGTTCCGCGCTCAAAACGTTCCGGGGCGGGGGAGAGAGAACTGGAGGCTCCTCTGCCTTAAAGAGCGCTTTGGTCACAACTCACCCCGAGGAATTTTTTGTGCCTTTTCAAGCTGAGGATGGGGAGATAATCTAATTTAAGAGGGGCTTGGGAGGCCTGTCACGGTGATACGCCTGGGAAGTTAGAGGCAGAGCAAAAAATCCTGGTGTTTGTGGGTGCCCACTGTCCCACAGTCGATAAAAATCAGCAAAATCACCTGTTGCAAAGCAAAGCCAATACCTAAGGCAGATTTTATGTAGTTTATAAATGGTTAAACCGTAGATAATCTTCTTTTAGAGAAGAAATGTAACTATTTTAGCAGCCAACCCAAATGGTTTCAAGGACTGAGCAAGAGAAGAAAGGATTGCAGCCCTGAGAACAGTGACCTAAGACAGAGGTGCAATAAATAGGGACATGGTCTGACAAACAGGTGGTATCAGGGAGATCATTAGTTTTAATGAGCAATTAAGCAGTTGGAATGTTTTGCCAACGTGAAAAGTGAGCCAAAGGACAGGTGAAGAAGATGAAGATGGAGGAAGGAACGACCCTCACTCAAAATGAGGACCACCAGAAGGCACAACTCCGCATGGCCAAAAGCTTATTTGAATATGTAAATGGATTCTGGGAAATGTAATGAATCTGCTAATGTTTTCTTGGAATGACATTGAATATGTATACCTTAATTTGATGACAGCATTCGGCGTGCACAACAGGAGGAGCGATCCCCTGTGCACCTGGTGCCGCAATAAAGAATGCCTGCTTTTTAAAACTTTAAATTGAGTCTTAGAAAGTTTTATCTGCCGGTTTGTGGTAACACAGCGAGTGTTTGCCTCGCATTTCATGGGGCTTCCGAGATGCTTATTTGTACTCCTTTTGAAGACTGGTGAGAGATACACACTTTCCTGGGTGGTCTTTCAATACATGAGTCTGCAAACACTATGTTAGAGCAGCCCCATTAAAAGCTTATACAGCGATGTGTTTAAAGAATACTTAAATGGAAAGGTGTTTTTTTTTTTTTTTTAAGTAAGTTTGACCTGCCAGCAGTTTTTCAGTGGAGCAATAGCTCAGGAAGCAAGACCTAGGCATACAAGCTCATGGAGAAAATGCTCTCGGGGGAGGAGAGCCTCATATTTAGCGACTTAAACTAATTTTAAAAATCTTGTTAATTATTATGCCTTCCTGCTGCGTTAACGCAAATCCTCAACGGGTGAAAAATAGCTGAGAGATTTGTATTTCCATCAGTCCAACGAAGCAGTACTTGGTTTTAGGGCATTGCAAATTATAAAAGATAGACAGGGCTTTCAGAACACCAGCAAACAAAAATTACCCCATGAAATTAGCAGGATCTTTCCATCCTTTGTAACTCTTGCTTTTCTTGGGCTTTAAACAAGTGGGGTTTTGTTCAGGCTTTTTTCTGGGGGAGCGAGGGGAAATGGAGATAACTCCTTTTCTGTCCTCAGTGAACTCAGCTCTCTTCTGTTTTATAACCTCCCTGGGAAAACATGGAGAGATATCCTTGCCATTCTAAAGAGAGAGACTAAACCTGCTCACTTCGTTATCGTTTGTTTGTTAATCCTTTACTACTTTTATCTTCTCTAGAAACCCAGTTTTCTACCTATTATTATTATGCACGCAAGGAATGCCATGTCTACACAAGACAGTTTATCAATGTTAAGTATCAATTTCTCTGTCTGATCAGCCTTATTCCAGAAGAGGACACCTTCAGCTATTCTTGTTGCTTTATCCTCACAGTGTGAGGATTTTCCTTATTTTCCACAAATAAATGCTGAACCTCTGCACAGGTCTTTTTATTCTATCACACAGCAAGAAGACACCATGGTCTTGTTCCTCTAACAACCCTTCTGCTCTGCCGCAACGCCAAGAATTGGGCAGTTAGCGAGCCTGAAAGTACTCAGCTTGGGGAAGAACTACTTAAAGGTCAGTCCAAGCTAACCCTTCTGTAGCTAGATACGACTGGAGATACTGCTTACTGCATGAACAACACTGCGCCTTCAGTGAAGCACAGCTGAGACCTCCTGCTGGTGAGAGGATTTAATAATGTCCAGTACGACCACCTACTTCACAGAATCACAGAATCACATGGGGTTGGAAGGGACCTCTAGAGATCATGTAGTCCAACCTTTGACAAAGCAGGTCCACCCAGAGCAGGCTGCACAGGAACGTGTCCAGGTGGGTTTGGAATGTCTCCAGAGAAGGAGACTCCACCACCTCCCTGGGCAGCCTCTTCCAGGGCTCTGCCACCCTCACAGGAAAGATGGTCCTCCTCATGTTTAGGTGGAACTTCTTATGTTCAAGTTTGTGCCCATTTCTTCTTGTCCTATCCCTGGGCACCACTGAAAAAAGACTGGCCCCATTGTCCTGACACCCACCCTTCAAGTGGGTGGCATTGATCTGATCAATAGGCATTGATCAGATCCCCCCTCAGCCTTCTCTTCTCCAGACTAAAAAGACCCAAGTCCCTCAGCCTTTCCTCATCAGAGAGATGCTCCAGGCCCCTCATCATCTTTGTAGCCTGCTGCTGTACTTCATAAGTGTGGGAACCTGTTGTGGGGGGATTTTATTTTTATTCCATCTTGGCAACATTGTATAGAATCGTCTAGGTTGGAACGGACCTTTAAGATCATTGATGGACTCAATGGATCCTAACGCTGTCCCAAAACCATCATGAAACCGTGTCCCTAAGCACCATGTCTACATGTTGCTTAAATGCCTCCGGGATGGCACCTCAACCACTGCCCTGGGCAGCATCTTCTGACGTTTGATAACCCTTTTGGTGAAGAAATTTCTCCCAGTATCCAACCTGAACCTCCCCTGATGCAACTCGAGGCCATTTCCTCTTATCCCATGGCCTGGGACTTGGGAGAAGAGACCGACCCCCCCTGGCTACACCCTCCTTTCAGGGAGTTGGAGAGAGTGAGAAGGTCTCCCCTCAGCCTCCTTTTCTCCAGGCTCAACACCCCCAGCTCCCTCAGCCTCTCCTCACAAGACTTCTTCTCCAGACCCCTCACCAGCTCCGTTGCCCTTCTCTGGACCCGCTCCAGCCTCTCAATGTCTTTTCTGTGGTGAGGGGCCCAAAACTGGACCCAGCCCTCACCAGAAGAGGGGAGATTTCGATTAAGATACTAGAAAGAAATTGTTTGTTGTGAGGGCGGTGAGACATTGGAACAGGTTGGCCAGAGAAGCTGTGGCTGCCGCATCCCTGGAGGGGTTCAAGACCAGGTTGGATGGTGCTTTGAGCAACCTGGTCTGGTGGGAGGTGTCCCTGCCTTGGACAATACCGGGAACTACTTTATAGGGAAGGCGAACCGGGTGGCCTCCGCCGCGGAGGAACAACCGCGACGACCAAACGAGTCCGGTGGACGGTCGGCGGGAAAAAGCCGGGGGCGGAGCCTGAGGGGAGCTCGGGGGCGGGGCCTGAGGGGAGCTCGGGGGCGGGGCCTGCGGAGAGGCCACGCCCCGCGCCTGCGCACCGTCCATCCCCGGGATCAATTTCGCGCTGTCCCCGGGGGTGTGGGAGCCGTGCTGAGGCGGCGCGTGCGCAGTGTGGCGCCGCGCGCACCTTTTGGCGACGTTCGCTGAGGCGCTCGGCGTTGCGGGCGGCGGTGGAGGAGGAGATGCTGCTCGCCCGGCTGGCGAGAAGGAGCCGCCGTTGCCCCGGCGGGTTGCGGAGGAGCCCCCACCCGGTGACCGCCGCCGGCGGCAGCGCCTCGCAGCGCCCCTCCGGAGCTCTGAGGGCCGCCTCTACTGTCGGCGGCGGGGCGCGGGGCGGAGGCGCTCCCCCGGCAGGTAGCCGCGCCGCGCCCTTCTCCTCAGCCTCCCCTCCCTTGCCCCGTTGACCCCACGTCGGAGGCCTGAGGGGCGGCCCGGGCAGGGGTCGGAGAGGTTTCGGTGTTGGGGGGCGGTGGGGCCCTGGAACACCTGAGGGAGGCTCCTCCCGCCGCCCCCTTTCCCTCGGGGGCTGAGCCCCCCTTCCCCAGCACCGCGGGGCCTGTGGGGGCTGCGGGGAGGGGGGGGGAGAGCGGCCGCTGGGGTGAGAGCCTCGGTCGGCTCCCTGCGAGAGCAGCGCGGTGGACTTTGCCCAGCCCAGTAACATCCCCTCTGGCTTTCAGGTTTCTCTGTTATTTAATAATATAGCAAAAAAACCCCCCAAGACCCCCCTTAAGGCTGCGTTGGAATCGGAGGAGCTTCTGGAGTTGTCTTTCCTGGGGTGAACATAGGAAGCGTGTGCCTGGCTGGAGCATACCTGTTGATAGTGATTTAATTTCTACTAGTGATGGACTTGATTATAACTTTCTGCCTGTATGAATTAAAAAAAAAAAAAAGCTGATTGTGCAATCAAAGTTGAGATAACAGGCTTAAGGAGCGGTCTCCTCTGGAACTGGATGTAATTGGAATGGAATCGAATTAGTTGCTGTTGATTTGCATTGGTGAGAAAATATGAAACGTACTAATCGGCTCTCAGTGCCCTCTTCTGTCGCCTACAAATATAAAGGAAAGCTTTTTTTTTTTTAGCAATATGACCTGAAAATTAATTTCTATTCTGTGATACGATCTCCCTGTTGGTGGCTTAGGTGTTGATACATTAGACCAGCCTTGGGCCAGACAACCCACTGAGCCCAACTGAAGAGTTTAATTCATTTTGAGAGCAAGTGGATCTATTCTTCGTCAAAGTTACTTATAAAATATAAAATACATATGGCTGTCTAATTTATGGTAAATTCAGGCATTGTGGGAATAAGGAGTTTATACATAGGACATAAAGCTGGGAGAGTGATTTTCTTTCAGTCATCAAGTTACTGGAGTAATTAAGCAAAAATATGACAGAAAAAGTGAGTTTGCTTTTTACAGAATTTAGACTATTGAGCCAGAATTCCAATAAAACCCACTCTGCGGGGAAGGTTTAACTTTGTGTGTGAGCCTGACAGCAGGCTAGTGAGGAGAAGAAAAAAAAAAGTAGGAGATGCTTCTGGTCCACACTGATCAATTCTGGTGTCTTCTGGTTTTTTGGTGGTATGGTTTTCTTGTTGTTCTTGCAGTAAGTGGTTGTCAGCACTCTGGTACTCGGGATCTATCAGGAACTATAGAAGAGTTCTGATTCCCCAACGGAGTATTAGATGTTATCACGATGTGAGTGATGTGATAATATTAGTAAGGATTCACCCGTCTTAGTTATGCATAAATGCGGAGTTAAAGGCTGATCTTAACACTTTGGCTTTTTGAAGAAATATCTTTATGGATTCCTGCAACTCAGCCGCAGGCAGAGAACTTACTGCTGTTGTTCTGGTACTGTAGCTGTGAGAAATGTCAGTAACACTGAATGCTGGCTCAGGAGGAAAATAAGTGAGCCATGGAGTAAAAGATGTGGAAAGAATAGAGGGAGATGTACCCTTTTTGTTGACTAAAGTTTTTTTTTTTTTAAGGGAACTGTGCTCTTCAGAAAAGCTGTTTTTTATGTATTTGCTGTAAACACAGAGTAATGCCACTGTGAAGCAAATGATGCGTTAACAAATGAACATAGGCTAAAATGTTTGCTTGCCTAGAGCTAACTTAATAAAATTAAGGTTATGCTGGAGGATCTGGGGTGTTTACCTGGCACTAGCAGAAGTCTTTTCCACCACCTGGAACTTTCACTGAGGTTGTGCAGTGTTGAAGACAGGTGGCAGCCTGAGTTTTCCTAAAGGCTTTGAAATGTGCAAAATACACTGCTGCTCCTAGGTAAGCACACTTTCAACATGCTTGGTCTGTGTATACGTATATTAAAACCTCTTATATCCCTCTGGAGTGATTGGTAATAATTGAGGAAAATGTTTTGAAGAATGGGATGTGTGTGTTTTCATTGAGAGCAGTACAGTGAATGAAGACATGTTAGCAGAAGCCTTGAATTCCTGATACTGTTTCATATTGCTGCAGCTTTTTTATTCTATATATATATATCTTTATCCATCTCCTTACCATATATACAGTAAGGTAGGACAGAGAGTTATGGGGGTGACTGAAGGGTGGCTCAGGTCTGATGGAGGGAACGTGGACCAGGTGGTGCAGGCATCCACGGCTGCATGGCTTGGGAGATGCACCACACTGCCCTGCATGCTTTGGGGACTGTGGTTCTTTTTTCCTTCTTATTCTTGCTTGAATTATACTTGAATTAATGTGATGGGTTTTTTTATTTTCCCACCCCCCACCATGTTTTACATCTTTCGCTTACCTGGACAAACACCAAAGAGAGGTGCCTACCACAAGTTAGTATTGTGTAAGGTTTCATGGTGTTATTGGCCAGGTGCTTCCCCCCCCAACCTTTTTTTTTATGTGTGTGGTATGACACCTCTTCCAGATAGTATCGAAATTACCATCAGCCAGGGGTGGTGAAGCGTTTGCATCCTCAGCCTGCAACTAAAGATGGTGACTTAGCAGAAGATAACACAAGGTCTCCTAAGAGGTAGTTGGCAAACCTGAAGTCTAGATTATGGTGCTGATGATGCTGCTTTCTCTGCTTGTGATGCTTATTGCCATGGCTGTTGTTTTTTTGAGCTAGTCAGGTTGGAAAGGGTGAGGGAAAGGAGGAAAGCATTGTGATTTCCTAGCAGTTACCTTCCATGTGTGACTGTCATTGAAAGTTAAAGATAGATCAAGAATTTCCTTGGTATTTTTCCTTGGTCTGTCCTCAGTTTTGTAATTATTTTTTGAAATGTGGATTTTTGTGTGTGTGTGATTTAAGTGCATATATCTACATGGGTCAAAACACTTTGTGAGGATGCTGTGCTTCACATTGGTCTGCTACCCAGTGGTTTTACTTTGTGGTGTTCTGATGTTGCTTTCTATGCTTTTATAGAATCATAGAATCGTTCAGGTTGGAAAAGACCCTTGGGATTATCGAGTCCAACCATCTACCCTACTCTACAAAGTTCTCCCCTACAACATATCCCCCAGCACCGCATCTAAACAACTCATAAACACATCCAAGGATGGTGACTCAACCACCTCCCTGGGCAGCCTATTCCAGTGTCTGACCACTCTTTCTCTGAAGAATTGTTTCCTAACATCTAGTCTAAACCTCCCCTGTTGCAGCTTGAAGCTGTTTTTAATTGGGTTTTTCTTCAGATTAGTCTTTTTAAAAGCTACATGAGTGTTTGTGGAAGGCATGTATAAAAATATCTCTAAAAAGTAGCTTTATTGGAGAATCACTAGGTGTGTATAATAGGTTCTACAATGTTGACCATGAGGTTTTCCAACTTTGAAGAGCTTTACTAATATAATAACCTACATGTGCAGAAATCTTTATTATCCTTTAATTTGGGGAGGGAGATGAGGGACAACGATGGGAGAGTGCCTTAAACTGTTTCAGACTAACAATGAGAAACATCTGATGGGAGAGTGCCTTAAAAAACTGTTTCAGACTAACAATGAGAAACATCTCTTACAAAAAACAAATAATTCAAGATTAAGTCACTATTTTCTGTTTCTTGTCAGGTTCTAGTAATGTAAAGCCATTGGATGGTGTGAAAATTCTTGATTTAACAAGGTTTGTGTTCTGTCTGTAATTTGGAACATGCTGCCTAGATGCAAATATTCAGATAGGAAAAACTAAGAAAACAATCTCTTTTTTTTTAATATTACAGGGTGCTTGCAGGGCCCTTTGCCACAATGAATTTGGGAGATCTCGGAGCTGAAGTTATCAAAGTGGAAAGACCAGGTAAGATTTTTATTAATCTATTTTAGATGTAATAAGAACAGGGGATATTTTAACAAATAGTTGATATATTTTAAGTAATAAATGACTGAGAATGCAAGACTCAAAACCTTTGAAAATATACAGAAAAACAATATTATATTTATTTGGTGATATTTGTGGTTTTGGTGACAGTGCATGTATAGCATTATGCTAATAAATTTTGTAGCTATTTTTATATTTTTTTTGGAGCCCGCAGTTCTCAAATTTTGGGACCATTTTACATCCTTGTACAATTTCTGGTGTGGTAGAGAACAAGTTTTTAATAGGTTTGCTTATATATATATTTGATTTTTTTTTTGCATTAAACTTAGCACTGGTCCATGTATGTGTGTGTTGATCACAAGTAGTTTATATCTATATTTAGAAAAGCATGTGGAAAGGTTAAAGTTTTGATGCCAGGTAAATTTTTTCAGATATTAATGTACAAAGCAGTACTGAGTCACCACGTACTGAAGTGCCTTATTCCATCATTTAAAACTAAGCTGATTTAGTTTGAATTGTTTGGACTCTGCTTAGATTTTAAATTGGGCTTGTGAATGCTTAGGTGTATGGTGTCTTTTTATTGTGGTGAGAGAGTAAAAACAGACATTTAAGTGTAGTGTTTGATGTGCAAAATCTGACATACAAATCCTTCCAGCAATTAATTACATAAGAATTATGGAAAAGGTGTTTCCCATTTGGGAATTCAGAATCTTCAGCTCGGTTGCCTCTGAGCCAGAACTTCTTAGATAATTTTAAATGGGAATGCATTTTACTACTCAGGACTGGAATACTGATAAAATGACAGGCACTTTAATTTTGGAAACAAACTCCACCTTCTATATTCATTTTTATTATTAGAATGAAGAAAGGTAACATGAGCATTTAATATATATATTGTTTATTTGCACTGCTTTGGTATAATATACAGATCTATTGGGGCTGGCAAGCATTTTGACTGGTAGAGTGTAAGGTGGCTTGCCATACTGTATCAACTTTCTCCTGAGAATAATTTTAATTGTTACTTAAGCATTACCTTGTCAGAGAAATTGATCTTTGTAGTTGGACAAAGCAAACAAAAGTTATCTTCTGCCTGAGTTAGTTGTATCTTTGAAGTCCAGGATCTGATATGCCTGTATAGGTGGAGATGGGAGTTCATTGGAAAAGGGAGATTTCTGAATTTGCATGAAAATCTTCATGCAAGTGCTGAAAGTGTCTGAGGTTAATGAGCTTCGAGTGTGTGTTTTCAGATGCAGAAACTGGTATAGCTCCTTCTGAGTCTGATTGGACTCTGGGTAATTAGCTTCATAAATAGAACTTACTTTATTTTCATGTATTTGAGCTTTTTCCATTCAGCACATGCACTTATTCAAAGAGTTGTTGAGGATTGAGTAATGGTAAAAAATGCTTAATTCTTGTGAAATAGCCACACTTCATAGTTCATAAGTCCATGCAAGAAAAATAACAAATTGCATGGCCTTTGGTTCTTTTTTAGAAATATTCCCTGCATTTGGCTTTCAGTTTTATGCATCATTACGCATTTGCAGCATGTAATTATGCCCCAGCAGCTGCACATTATGTCATGTATTTTTTCCTTCTTTAAGTTTCCATGCTTTAAGTCTCTTTTCATATTATTAGTTTTGAAAAGAGCTGGTAAAGATAATTACACACTTGAGATACTAAAACATATTTCATTCCCTGTATTTTATTTTTAAATAAGAATTATTGAATATTTAAACATCTAACAAAACACTGAATGCCTCACAAAAGTTTTGTCACATCAACCTATGGGTCGTCCTTAATCACTCACCGTTGTTTCAAAGGTTTTCACTTTTGTGACAGGGCAGGAGCTGTATTGATTTTGTAGTATTGGATGAGACTGGCAGTGGTGTTATTCCAAGTATCTGGGTAGTAGGAATGGACCAATGTCAGCAATTAAGTATGAAGTAGGAGTTCTGGAGATTTGCATTTCAATTCTTAGAGTCTTGTTTTGTGTTGGAAGGAAAAGGACAGCCTGAGAATTCTGAATTTCAAAGATTTTAAGTGTGTGAGTAATCTGCTCTTTCTGTGAGGAGATTTCTGTTTTCACTGGAGTATTAGTGCACAGAGGACAGTACCTACATGAGCATCCTACATGGAAAGCATTACTAAAATATTTTCTTTTCAATGGCTTGAAGTGGTAACATGCAGAAGAGAGTTGTTTTTCCCTCCTTGCCCAAGCTTCCTGCTTGAACCACAATAGTACTTTGAGATGCTAAACAGTACAAATTTTGATGAGTAATTTATATATTTAACTTCCACCACAGTCGATCTTAAAGGGCTGTAGACTTTGTGTTACCATGCTGTATGGCATAATTATGGTGGTGGCTCTTGTCTTCTGTGTTGCCTCGTTAAGGCAAGTTTTCACTTGTGAAGTTAACAAGCAGATAAAGTCTAGATATCGAAATAGATACAGCAGTGTGCATGCTTGCTAGTACTTGGGATGATGATTATATCTGAATTTAAATTTAGCTTTAATCCTAATTAAAATAGATTGCCAGTCTTAGTTTTAATACTAATTAAAGTAGATTGCCGGTCTTCATGACATTTAAGAAAGGTTTATATTGGGAAATTAAGCATAAATGATACAGTGACATCAGTGTGTGCAGCTGCTTTAATGTCATCTTGCCTTCCTATAAGGCAGGAACATTTCTGGAAGGGTTGGAGGTGAGGGATTGCACCAGCTATAGCAGGTGCTGCTTTTTGTTGGTGTTCCTGCAGCATGCATCTTAACGAGTTGCTGCCAATCAGTGGCATCTTGACATGGACTTCAGAGTGTTTCAGGAGTAGCTTGTTGACCATGGGCACTGTGTGACTCAGAACAAGAGCTTCTAATAAATTCTTCCAGATTGCCTAAAGGAATGTAATTGTAGCTCTCTTGTAAGTTTAAAAAAAAACCCAACAAAAACCATCTTCCTCTCACTCCCCCCTCAAAAACCCAACCTCCCAAAAGCAACCAGAAAAACTGCAAATGCATTGGTGGTGTGTGTCTGTGTATTAACATTTTAAAGTCTAAAAGTGATCTAACACAAACACTGTTCACTTGGTTTAATTGTGTTCAGTTTTAGGTGTTTTTTTGACATGTGTCCTAAAATATATATAATAAACTTTTTTTTGGTCCTGTTTGCTAAATGAAGCTTAGGTGCTTTAAATATGACGTTGGAGGAAAACTTTATTCCTTTTATTTGTTGGCAGTGTGATTTTTCAACAGCTATTAAAATGTGATGGTATTTCTTTCAGGAGCTGGTGATGATACAAGAGCCTGGGGCCCACCTTTTGCTGGAACAGAGAGTGTTTATTTTCTAAGTGTCAATAGAAATAAAAAGGTAAATGGAGCATAGTATTGAAGGTTAGCCCATGTTTTTTGTAATTGCAATTGAAGACATAACACTTCTTTGTTTGATTACACTGTGTGACTCAGAACAGGGCAAGAGCTTCTAATAAGTTCTTCCAGATTGCCTAAAGGAATGTAATTGGCACTGTGTGACTCAGAACAAGAGCTTCTAATAAATTCTTCCAGATTGCCTAAAGGAATGTAATTGTTGCTCTCTTGTAAATTAAAAAAAAAACCCAACGAAAACCACCTTCCTCTCACTCCCCCCCTCAAAAACCCAACCTCCCAAAAGCAACCAGAAAAACTGCAAATGCATTGGTGGTGTGTGTCTGTGTATTAACTTTTTAAAGTCTAAAAGTGATCTAACGCATAAAAACACTGTTCATTTGGTTTAATTGTGTTCACTTTTAGGTGTTTTTTTGACATGTGTCCTAAAATATATATAATAAACTTTTTTTTGGTCCTGTTTGCTAAATGAAGCTTAGGTGCTTTAAATATGACGTTGGAGGAAAACTTTATTCCTTTTATTTGTTGGCAGTGTGATTTTTCAACAGCTATTAAAATGTGATGGTATTTCTTTCAGGAGCTGGTGATGATACAAGAGCCTGGGGCCCACCTTTTGCTGGAACAGAGAGTGTTTATTTTCTAAGTGTCAATAGAAATAAAAAGGTAAATGGAGCATAGTATTGAAGGTTAGCCCATGTTTTTTGTAATTGCAATTGAAGACATAACACTTCTTTGTTTGATTCGTAATATATGTAATGGAGCAATAGTTAACATTGGCCTTAAGCTATGATGAATACATTTCAGGCTTAAAACAAAGAGTTCTTTTCTTTTAAAAACTGCAAACCTCTGGTATGGTGCTGTGATCAGCTGAAGCAAGTTCAAAAAGCAAGAGTGATCCTGCCAGCCCTCAATTGCTGGTGCAAATTGATTATTTTAAAGTCTAAAAGTGATCTAACACAAACACTGTTCACTTGGTTTAATTGTGTTCAGTTTTAGGTGTTTTTTTGACATGTGTCCTAAATTTTTAAAGTCTAAAAGTGATCTAACGCATAAAAACACTGTTCATTTGGTTTAATTGTGTTCACTTTTAGGTGTTTTTTTGACATGTGTCCTAAAATATATATAATAAACTTTTTTTTGGTCCTGTTTGCTAAATGAAGCTTAGGTGCTTTAAATATGACGTTGGAGGAAAACTTTATTCCTTTTATTTGTTGGCAGTGTGATTTTTCAACAGCTATTAAAATGTGATGGTATTTCTTTCAGGAGCTGGTGATGATACAAGAGCCTGGGGCCCACCTTTTGCTGGAACAGAGAGTGTTTATTTTCTAAGTGTCAATAGAAATAAAAAGGTAAATGGAGCATAGTATTGAAGGTTAGCCCATGTTTTTTGTAATTGCAATTGAAGACATAACACTTCTTTGTTTGATTCGTAATATATGTAATGGAGCAATAGTTAACATTGGCCTTAAGCTATGATGAATACATTTCAGGCTTAAAACAAAGAGTTCTTTTCTTTTAAAAACTGCAAACCTCTGGTATGGTGCTGTGATCAGCTGAAGCAAGTTCAAAAAGCAAGAGTGATCCTGCCAGCCCTCAATTGCTGGTGCAAATTGATTGAAAATGAACCCAGCTGAAAGTATGGGTTATTTTATTTGCAGGATCAGTTTTTTTCAGGTGCTCAGCCAGCCTGCATCAGCTGGAGGCCAAGAAGAGCAGGTATCATACCACAGTTGGGTTGGCTAGAGGTAGCTTGTGAAACTTCAGGATTAAGATGAAGTTTCATGATGTGTCTGAGCTATTTAATGGCTAGTTAACATTGAAACAAATGTTTCTGGTGTCCCCATGGGTACTTGCAGGAGTAGATGCTGTGCAAACATAGAGTGAAGAGGCTGCAGTGCAGCTCCCAGCTGCACATCTGTCAGACGTGTTTCGGTGCTTGTCTGATCAATCAATGAGACGCTTCCCACTTGCTTTACCAACAGAATTTCTTTTTGCAAGGGGAGATGGGGTGTGTGTTAAAATTAACTGACTGGATTTAGCTGTAGTGTGAAACTTGGCTGTTGGTTATATTTAGAAGAGGCTGATAATCACCAGAAGGGCTTTCACATGAATTACTGTTGTATTTCTATTTCTTTTTGTCCCCAGAGTATAGCTATCAACATGAAGGATTCAAAAGGAGTAAAGCTAATCAGAGAGGTAGGTTTTGATAGCACGCAAATCATGCCTATTTTGTGTTGGTTTGATCCTGAGTAGTAAAGAATAAACTCTGCTTTTCAAGTGTTGATTTGATATTTGCCATTAAAAAATACGTATATGTGCAGTAAATTTGTTAAATTATGGTGTATAGCCTCCGTACTCTGTGCTTTTGGGCTCTATGTTCAGTGTGATTTCTAATGATTTAAGATAGAAAAGTTAAATGAAAATGGCATCAAAGGCTTCGAATGAAATATTGTGAGGAAAAGGTTTAACAGCCTAGTGCTTTCCTTTTACTGTTGCTGTATTTGATCTTGTGGTACAACTTTGTTAGATTCAGGCTGGAGTGATCTGATACAGCCAACAAGCAGTTTACAGAGAGGAGATAACGGGCTCTGGTATCTGCAGGTTTTTGGATGTTACAGTATATTTATGACTTGAGTAGCTATGCATCTTTCTGAGAAATACTCTCCTGTAGGTCAGATTTGATATTTGTTTCTTTTTTTCAGTATTTGAGTTCAGAATGTAAGGGTGTTTTAAGTGCGGTCCATTTTTCCATTGAAGCATCATATATTACTTTATCTAAAACTTATGCTTTGTCGTCCCTTTTTTATTTACTGAAAAATAGAAGACCTGCTACTTTCTGGTGCTGTGCTTTTAGCCCTGTGCAGTACTAACACATCAAAGAATGTGAGCTGGCTTCTGTTACTGTTTGTTTCAGTATCAGTTGTAATCACTTCTGTTTCCACAGTGAGACTGTATGTGTCCTGCAATAGGTAGAATTTGCCTGGTAGTATTTTTTTTTTTTTGTTGGGAATAGTGTGTGAAATAGAAATAGATTAAGTTGTCTGATATTTCTGACCTATTCTCTTCTCTGTCAGCTCTGTAAAAGACAGACTTCCTATGGAAATGTTTGGAGTTTGAGCCAAGGATTCTCCAGTGCCTTTTTTCTTTGCAGAACAGAACCATTTACTGTTGATTTGCTGTGAAGCCATATGTTTATCTTCTAAAGGTTTTGGAAATATATGCTGTTCATTGGGAATAATTTTGCATGGTATAACACAGACGTATTTGTGGATAAACTAGTCACACTCTAAATAAGGGCTATAAAAATTGTTCTCTTGCATAAGAGGGCTACATTTTTTTCCTTGTTATTTGACCTTTAAAAATAGTGAAAGAAAAACTACACAAAATGTCCACTGATTCCACATGTGTGGGCTTTGTTTGTGTTTTGTGTTGGGCTTTGTGTTTGAAGAGTTAAAGGCGGCTGGGCCTGTGAGTCAGGATGAGCTGGAGAAGAGATGGCTTCAGCGTAAGCTTCTTATGTGACTGCCACTATTTGTGGTTAGGAAGTTCCCCTTTTCTCATCTTGACATTTGTGCAGGAAAATGATTGCTTTGTTCTGTTTTTGAATGTGTAACTTTGTCTGCAATATGGAGAACCTTTTTACAGGCTGTGGAGTTGACTGGCTGGCGACTTAAGAATTTGCAATATAATCTTTGTGCTTGAGGCTCAGGAGCCTGGTTGAGTTCAAATCCCACATGATTTTTTAAATCAAAGCAGCAACTTTCTTCTCCCTCATCTGTCATGCAAAAGCAGCATCCTCTCTCTCATCTCAGTGCTGGGCTTCCCACTCTTTTCCTCCTGGTCAGATCTCCTGTACCATTGTGATGTAGTTACCATGATGCTAAAGATAGGATGGCTGGTAGTAAGAGTACTTAGAGCTGGGGACAAATGGTTCCTGCCAGCAGCAATGTTTTTTCCTTAGTTTGATGTCACTTAAATAGTCCAGTGTGTACGAAAATTATTTCCTGAGATGTGATATTATGGAATTTCCACTGGGAGAAATAACTCCATTAAATGTTTACCTCACTAGTGGTGGAAATGAGATCTCCTGTGGCAAAGTTCTTTCCCTTGTGAAGATAAAGCTGTGATGAGAAACCTAATTCATGGGGGAAAAAAAGAAAGCAACTGCAAGATTTGCAGAACTGACCTAAACCTGAGGACAGACTGGTTGCCAGGTCATTTCTTACAGTTTTTGTCCTTTATTGAAGTCGCTTTCATAACCACTGCAGCTTTCTGTTCCTTAAATTGATGGCATCCCTATCTGTGATATAGCAACTGTGAAGTGGTGAGACATTATTGAAATGTGACTCTACTTGTGGAGTTGTTCATCTTTTAGATGATTTAGAGTTATGGTTTTTGGAAGTATTTTGTGCAGAAGTCTTGGCATTGCATTATAACATCTCAAATGGAACCAGAATATAACTTCTTCTGTTTGGACTTCTTTCAAAAAGAATACGTAAAGGAAAGCTGTCTATAACAGGCTTTTTGTTGTCAGTTGTCTCCTGGTAATGTGAGGACATGTGTGTTTAAAATTAATGGTTGTTCAGCACTGTATTTGTTACTATGGAAAGTAGCGTTCATGTCTGTAAAGTAACTGATGGCAAGAAGAAAATCAAGTTTCTGACACTAGTTACTTATACCTGAATATACATTGTGTCCTGAGCCTAAACCCTGCAAAGAAAACTAATAGTGTTATACTTCTTTTAATTAAGAAAGAAAGCATGGTAAGAATAAATTTTATTTCTCCCCACCTCATAAATTCCACATGGGTAGAGCAGGGTAGATATCAGAGTCTTGAATCATACAATTGTTTGGTTTGGAAGGGACCTTTAAGATCATCCAGTTCCAACCCCCCTGCCCTGGGCAGGGACACCTCCCACTAGAGCAGGTTGCTCAAAGCCCCATCCAGCCTGGCCTTGAACCCCTCCAGGGATGGGGCAGCCACAGCTTGGGCCAGTATCTCACCCTCACATTAAAACCATGGAGCAGAGAGTCTTCAGGTGCATGCCAACCAGCACAGCCTTGGTAATTCAGTCAGTAGTATCAAATGAACTGAAAAAATCTGTTCATCAAGACTCCTGGCTGCTGTTCTTCCTTTAGCACAGCACTACAAAATACTGGTCCAAGGGTCAGCTCTTTTGTAATTACACAAGTACATGATTCACACAAAATTATTATTTGGTTGCCTTTTTTTTTTCTTTATTCTGTCGCTTGGATCCCTGTCTTCTTTCCCAGTGCTTTTAGTTCACTGTTAACTGTCTTACAAATATTTCTATATCTTCCTGAATGAAAATTGTTTTTTCTCTTCAGTGATGGTATGTGTGCCAGTCCCATGCTCTAGCATCCTTTTGTTGTAATAATGGCCAGCATCTCTATAGAGCATTATTCAGCAGTTATTGTTAGAAGCTCCTTAAAAAGCTCCTTAAGAACCTTGAGTATACCCTTCTCCTGACTTTTTAGCCTTAACTAATTAACTTTTCTATTTATTCATTAAAAACTTGGGATAATTCAATTGGCTGGGAGTTAATGGCAATCCTTCCCTTCCATTGCCTTTAGCTGATAGGTCAGCGTGTTTCATGCATGCTCTCTCACTTGATAAAGCATCATTATTTGTTTTTGTTATTCAATTTAATGGCTGCTTTGGCACGCACGATGTCTTTCTTTATTTTTTCTTTCTTTCTCTCTGAGGCATAGACATTGAGTATGTCTGGAATACATAGTGTTCCAGGTCAGCTCTGTGTTGTGTTACCCTGTTACTAGAGGTTAATGTGTAAGTGATGTGTTCAGAGGGCTTTTAGGACATGAAGTGTCAACTTTATAGGAACCCTGGGTACCTATGCTTGGTTCAGTGAGCATCAAAAAAAAAGTACTCTACACGGACTGCTGCCTTTTTGCGTTAAAGACTGTTTCCAAGCATCATGAAAACTCTAGTGGCTGACACAGCACTTGTAGGATGCTTTGACCATTCATGTTCATTTCTCTCTGGGATTACATATGCTGTTAAATTGGGCTCAAGTCATTGTGTCCTCACTTAGCACTCTTGTCACCCCAGGTATGTTGTAGAGTCCAGAAGTGAGGTGCTTTTTATGTTACAGTACTGTATGTTGCACGTTTTTCCTTGTAGCAGGTGATAGTTCTTCAGTATAACACGGACAACTCTTAAACCATTTTAGCCCATACAGTCCCTGTAAATTGAATAGGTTATAAACCCCTGGTGAAAGCAATACACAAGTTGTAACCCATTTTGTTGTTGGGTTTTTTTTTTGAGGTTGGACTCGATATCAAAGGTCCCTTCCAACCATGGTGATTCTGTGATTCCTCTCTTGAATGCATTAAGCTAAGGCTGTAATATTTTGATGTTTGCAAAGTATTGATGCAGGAACTGTGAAGCATTTAAAGAGAAAATTATAAAAAATAAAGGTGTTTTTTTAAAGTCGTACTATTGAACAACAAATAGCTTGCCCCTGTTGTGTTCCTCTTACATTAGTTTAGTGGCTTGATTTGCTGTCCTGCCCAAAGGATTGGGACAGCTGTAGATCTGTCTGACCTAATTCTGTTTTCACTAGCAAATGCTTTAGCTCTGTGGAAATTTGTATCTTCTTGAGAATGTTCTTGTGACAAATGCCTATTTTATAAGACCTTCTATAAGGTTATGTTCTGTTCAATTCTATGGAATCATGAGTTAACAAACCAGCCAGCTGTCCACGTTGGAACCCAACAATGAATGCCTATTTAGAATCTGGAGTCTGTTTCTGAGTTGACTACAGTCCTACAGGTTTTTCACACAGCCACTTCAAAAATACTTTGCGTATTTTAAAATGCACCTTCACCATATGCTGAACTTAGTTTCTGTAAATGTTACTGATGTCTCTACCGTGCATCCAGTTAAACCATTTATAAGTTCTGTGCTGCCTTGTCTAAATAAGAATCAGTTTCTGTCTTTCCTGTTAAATACTTGCTAGCTTGGCAACTTCTTTGGCCTTAAATTCAGCCGACCAGCTTACATGCTAGAATAAAAATGCTTGTGATTGCTGTTATGATGACACTGGTTTATAGAAGCTGGTCTAACATACTGTATATATTAATCAGACAGCTAAATGGTACTTCCAGAGAATGTGACTCAGCTGCAAGTAACATTAAACATAATCTAATACACCTAGTTTCATAAAAAATATGTGCACGAACATGTGTACCTGTCAGAATAGTTTCTTAAATTCCTGGCCGGGGGGAAAAGTTAAGCAAAAAACCTCTACAACTCCCCCAAGGCATACATCTTTTAACATGTAGTTCTCTTGCATCAGGAGTTCTTAATTAGTAATAGTCCTATTCAAATATGAGTATGTATATCTATTTATAACTTTTCTAAGAAAAAAAAAAGATGTAATTTATAGCCTGACAAGGTTATATGTTAGTCTAACTTCAGTAGATTTGTGGACAAGGTCAGTCATATAGATGTGGTGGAGAAAGTCACATTGCAGAGCTTGACAGCTCTATTCTAATTGAGGAGACTTTAAGATGTTAATTTTAACCCAATAAAATTTTTGGGCTCCCTGTTCTGCTTTTACATCCAGGAAGTGAGATATATGGTCGCTGTTACGGTAACTGTCATCAATGATTTTAAAATGAAAAACAATTTATAAATTTGTTTCTAAGGTAGAGAAAGCATGAAGGATAAAGATGCCTTTTTTTTTCTCCCTCCCTCCCCCTTTTACTCAAGCTGCGTTCAGGTATAAAGGTGATGATTGTTCTCTAAACTATTGTGAATTCTTGGGAAATTGCTGTAATACTGGTAATATAATTATATTATGATTTTGTATACTTTAGAATTTTGACAGTCATCTTTCTAGATACCCAGCGTCTCTAGTCTGTAGTTTGCAGGGAACAGGCCAAAAAAAAATCTCACTAGGTTTTGTAAGTTTTCTTTTTGTCACAAAGACTAGAGCCATTTTGATTACTGAGATTTTTCAATAGTTACATGAAGAATGTATTGAACTTTTGGAAGCTCAATCTAACTCATCCTTTTTTTTCCTAAAGCTTGCAGCAGTGTGTGATGTTTTTGTGGAAAACTACATCCCTGGGAAACTGGCTGAAATGGGTCTAGGTTATGAAGACATGAAAAAGATTGCTCCTCACATAGTGTACTGTTCAATAACAGGTATTTTAATTTCAACTACTTGTGTTCTTTTATTCCCATCAATGTGTTATAAAAGTGACATGCTTATATAGAATTATAGTATTTTCATAGAACCTTAGGATGGTTAGAGCTGGAAGGGACCTTAAAGATCATGGAGTTCCAACCTCCTGCCCTGGGCAGGGACACCTCCCACCAGACCAGGTTGCTCCAAGCCCCATCCAGCCTGGCCTTGAACCCCCCCAGGGATGGGGCAGCCACAGCTTCTCTGGGCAACCTGTTCCAGTGTCTCACTGCCCTCACAGCAAAGAATTTCTTCCTAATATCTCATTTAAATCTCCCCTCTTCCAATTTAAAACCATTACCCCTTGTCCTACTGCTCTACTTCCTGACCAAGGGTCCCTCCCCATCTCTCCTGTAGGCTCCCTTCAGATACTGGAAGGCTGCTGTAAGGTCTCCCTGGGGCCTTCTCTTCTCCAGGCTGAACAACCCCAACTCTCTCAGCCTATATTTTGATATCTGTTAAGATAAATTGAAAGAGTGAGTTTGTTCAATTCAAAAACAGTTATATCAAAATTTGGAGGCAGCAGCCATGTCAACAGTTTATAAGTTGGTCGACAGTGGCATTACTGTGCCAGCCTGGCATGCTCCTATTGACTTCAGGGGAGCCAGGATTCATTGGGCTCCTTATATATTGCTTTGAACTGGTTGCTAACTCAGATTTTTCTTTTCTTTTTTCTTCTCAGCAGTTGTACTGTGCCAGTTTACATATTGCAGGTTTCCAAACTGGTAATCTGTGTTCTTTACTGCCCTGAAGCATCTCTCTCTCTCTTCAGAATTACCCAGTTACATACTTAAGGAAGTTTTACATTACTTTGCAGTTTATTGTCTTGTAACTAAAATGGCAAAAGAGTTGCTGGTACCTTATAAATGCTGGGAAGAATGAAAAGAAAGTAGATGTGAATATCAGGAACTACATGCATATAAAAATAGTTTTAAGTCTGAAAAATTGCTTATACAAAAAAAACCCAAACAACAAAAATCACCCCAAAAATCTTGATGAAATGCTAGAATTAAAGGATCTTTGCATGTAAATTCTATTGGTAAATACAATTAAATTAATATATAGCAGTTAGGAATGTTTTTAGACTGGTTTAAAGTCTTAGTTACAAACCTGTTATGCCTCTGAACTTATGAAGAATAAATGGCTTTGGCTTTTTAGTTCCTGGGTATTGATGTCATTTAATAGGACCCTAATAGTTTATTAGTCTGTTGTGATGTGTTTATCATGTTTGTGTGGCAAATGTCTGAAGAGGACAAGAGCAGAAATGACCCAATAATGTATTAGTCTATTGTGATGTATTTATCATGTTTGTGTGGCAAATGTCTGAAGAGGACAAGAGCAGAAATGCAATTATATTTGGGGCTTGCTGAGAATCTCTTTGTTTAAATGCATTTGTAGGTTAGTCAGTGACTAGTTATCACAATGTTTTTCACATATGCTCGTGCGTGTAGTCTCATAACTGGAATTTGCCAAGTGGCTTGGTTTTGCTCTTTATGGTTTTGTTTAGTTGCTCTACCCATAATTGATGAAAAATAATAAAAAATTACATCCAAGCTACAATTTCTGTGGGGCTGCTTGGCCTCTGGGTAAATCTGTTTTTCTATTCGCACTTCATGTCAGCTCTTGAGCGCTTCTGTGTTTTACTGATAATAGATAAAAACCTCACTTGAAGTGAGGGCCTAAGGAAAGGCACAATTTAATTTCATGGAATCACTGCATTTTTTAGGTAAAAAGACCTCTTGAGACCACCTCGCCCAATCCACCTGCTCAAACAAGGTATAACCCAGCCAGCAACTGGGACCACACAGCCTCTGTCACCCTGGCTTCTTCTCAAAGGGTCAGGAGAAGAGGGAGAGAAGGAGGGGAATGGAGAAAAAAGCCTTGTGGGCTGGGATAAAGACAGTGTAATAGAACAATAACAGAAAAGGAAAATAACAATAATGATGGTAAAAGAATATGCAAAACACAAGTCACTCTTACTACCCAATGAATTGGTTACTCAGATAAATCTGAGCAGAGACTGCAGATTTCCTCCCCAGCCAACCCTCATTTATATACTGAGCATGATGTTTATGGTACAGAATATTCCATTGCCCATTCTACTGCTCTGTCTGTGCCCCTCAGCTTCTATGGGAAGCTGAAAAAAGTCATTGACTTAGCAACACCTGAAGCAATATGCATTATTGACATTCCTGTCATACCAAATCTGA